ATTGTGTTTACTCTTTCATTGTGTTCCATAAGTTTGTGTATACTGTGTCTTCAGTTTCACTAAAGTCTATAAAGTCTTTGATTTCTTTATTTCTTCCCTGACCAAGTTATCATTGAGCAAAGAGTTGTTCAGTTTCCATGAGCATGTGGACTTTCTGTCGTTTTTGTTGTTGTGGAAGTCCAACCTTAGTCAGTGGTGATCTGATATTATGCACTAGATTATTTCAATCTTCTTGTGTCTGTTGAGTATTGTTTTGTGTCCAATTATATGATCAGTTTTGGAGAAGGTTCCATGAGGTGCTGAAAAGATGGTATATTCTCTTGTTTGGGAGTGAAATATTCTATAGATATCTGCTAAATTCATTTGGTTTATAACTTCTGTTAGTTTCACTGTGTCTTTGTTAGGTTCTGTTTCAATGATCTGTCCATTGGTGAGAGTGGGGTTTTGAAGTCTCTCACTATTAATGGGTGAGGTTCAATGTGTATTTTGTGCTTTAGTAAAGTTGCTTTTATGAATGTGGATGCCCTTGCATTTGGGGCATAGATGTCCATAACTGTGACTTCCCCTTGGTGGATTTTTCCTTTGATGAGTGTGAAATGTCCTTTACCATTTCATATGATAACTTTTGGTTAAAAGTCTATTTCAATGGCAACTCCTGCTTGTTCCTTGGGACCATTTTCTTGGATAACTTTTTTCCAGCCCTTTACTCTGAGATAGTGTGTGTCTTTGTCACTGAGGTGTGTTTCTTGTGTGCAACAAAATGCTGGATCCTGTTTAGGTATCCAGTCTGTTGGCCTCTGTCTTTTTATTGGGGAGTTGAGTCCATTGATGTTGAGAGATATTAAAGAGAGATGCTGGGGCTGGAGAGATGGCTCAGTGGTTAAGAGCACTGACTGCTCCTCCAGAGGTCCTGAGTTCAATTCCCAGCAACCACATGGTGGCTCACAACCATCTGTAATGGGATCTGATGCCCTCTTATGGAGTGTCTGAAGACAGCAACAGTGTACTCATAAATAAAAATAAATAAATTAATTAATTTAAAAAAAGACAGATGCTTGTTAGTTCTTGTTATTTTTCTTGCTGCGTGTGTTTGTGATTTTCTTCTTTGAGGTTTATTGTAAGATGTTTAATTTCTCATGTTTTCTTGGGTGTAATTACCCTCCTTGTGTTGGAATTTTCCTTCCTGTATCCTCTTATAGGGCTGGATTTATAGAAAGATATTGTTTACATTTGGTTTTATCATAGAATATCTTGGTTTCTCCATCTATGATGATTCAGAGTTTTGTTGGGTATAGTAGCCTGGACTGTCATTTGTGTTATCATAGGATCTCAATGACATCCAGAATCTCTGTTGAGAAGTCTTGTATAATTTTGACAGGTCTGCCTTTATAGGTTACTTGGCCTTTTTCCCTTATAGCTTTTAATATCCTTTCTTTGTTCTGTGCATTTGGTGCCTTAATTATTATGTGACAAGAGGATTTCCTTTTCTGATCTAATCTATTTGGCTTTCTGTAGGCTTCCTGTACTTTTATGGCCATCTTTCTCTTTAGGTTAGGGAAGGTTTCTTCTATGATTTTGCTGAAGATGTTTTCTGGCCTTTCAAGCTGGGATTCTTCACCCTCTTTTATTCCTGTTATTCTTAGGTTTGATCTTTTCATTGTGTCCTGAATTTCCTAGATGTTTTGGGTTAGAAGCTTTTTACACTTTGTATTTTCTTTGACCAATGTGTCAATATTTTCTATGGTATCTTCTATGCCTGAGATTCTCTTTTCTATGTTTTGTATTCTGTTGGTGATGCTTGCATCTGTAGCTCCTGATTTTTTTCCTAAGTTGTCCATCTCCATGGTTGTCTCCCTTTGTGTTTTCTTTATTGTTTCTATTTCCATTGTTAGCTCTTGGATTGTTTGTTCAATTCCTTCAATTGTGTTTTCCTGTATTTCTTTAAGGGATTTATTTGTTTCTTCTTTAAGGGCTTCTACCTGTTTGCCTGTATTTTCTTGTATTTCTTCAAGGGAATTCTTTATATCCTCCTTAAAGGCCTCTATCATCTTCATGAGATGGGATTTTAGGTCATTATCTTGCTTTTCAGCTGTGTTAGGCTTGCTGTGGTGGGAGAACTGGGTTCTGATGCTGCTAAATTTCACTGGATTCTGTCATTTATGATCTTCTGCTTGCCTCTAGCCATCTAGTTCTCTTTGGAATTAACTGTCCTGGGTGTCTCTAATTGAAACAGGATTCCTTGGAGACAAGGAGAGCTCTGTGACCTGAGTTAGGGCTGGTTTCCTTACAGGCAGGCATTGTTGTCTCTGGTTAGGGTGGGCCTCCTGTGTCTTTGGTTAGAGCAGGGCTCCTGTGCTCCTGGTTACTGAAGACCTCCTGTGCCTTTGGTTACTGTGGACCTCCTGGGAGGTTCGTGGGCTGTAGAGTTTGGGCATGTATAGGTCCATTGGTCAGGCCTGGGTAAATAAGTGGGCCAGTCTCACTCTCCTCTCTGGGAATCCTCAGTGTCCAGTCTCTGTCCCCCTGACCAGCCATTTGACCAGTCAAAAAAACATCTGTTGACAGAGACCTGAAGCAGATGTGTGAATGCCCATGTAAGCACAAATAAAATCCCAACACACCCAGAAACAAACAAGCAAACAAACAAAACTAAACAAAAACTATCTAACTGAAACCATGCCAAGATCTACTCACAGGTGTGAAGACTTATTTAGGCCATGCTAGTATATATATAAAAAAAAGATGGCAGAGAGCTGATTCCTTTCTTAAGACTCATGCATCAAAATGGATAACTTTGCTGATAACTGTCACCTGTAGGCAAAATGAAGCGTGTTGAGTTATCTTCAGGATCTTATTTGTCTCCATCTTCAGAGCATCTTGTGAAGATATTACAGACATGGGTACAGGGTTCCCCTCTTTATTAGGGATTATGAGAGAAGGGGAGGCAGTCAAGCCATGTTCCTGGATATTGCAGTCCCTCTTGCAGGGTATGGGAGGATATCTGGCTGCTGATGTGGCTCAGGTCGGGGAGCAGATCAGAAAACATAATTCTTTTTTAAGTATGAATGTTTCTCCTTGTCACTTCTAACTAGTTTTTCTCTGAAGTATATTTTGTTGATATTAGAATAGCTATGCCTACTTGTTTCCATTTGCTGGAAATACCTTCTTCCATCCTTTTATTTTAAGGTTGTGTCTTATTGACAGAGAGTTATATTTCTGGGAAATGACAAAAAGATGAGCCCTGTTTTCTGATCCAATCTGATAGTCTGGGTCTTTTTATTGAGAAATTTGGACCCTTAGTATTTAGTCATTGCTAAATAGTGTGTATTAATTCCTGTTGTTTTGCTGACTTTGCGGTGTTTCACAGCTCTTTCGATCACTTGACCTGCTGCTGTTTGTTCCCTGGGGTATGTTCATTCCTCTCTTCAGATTGATAAATTCCTTCTAGTAGCCTCTGGATTACAGTCTTACTAGTAGTCATAAATTCTTTTAATCTGTTTTTATCATGCAGAGTTCATATTTAGTTTTATTTATCAAAGGGGAAGTAGCTTCACCCTACTTCCAGTTAGCTCTCTCTCTCTCTCTCTCTCTCTCTCTCTCTCTCTCTCTCTCTCTCTCTCTCTCTCTCTCTCTCTCTCTCTCTC